CCATGCACAAGTACAGGTGTTATTCTGCAGGGATGGTAGTGATGCCTGGTCTCCAGCTGCTGAATTAAAGCTGTCTTCAGCTAAGAAGGAATTAAGGATGGATAGATTAATGTTTTTCTGTAAGGCTGTGCTGCACAAAGGCTGTTTCTAGGTAGATGAGGAAGTTTCTCGGAAAGATTGAAGGACATTAGTGATTTTCCTGAAGGACAGCAGAGATCTGTAGATGTGGGAGAAGTGTTGCTCTGTGTGGGGCAGGGAGGAGGCAAGAGGCAGCCTCTAAATGTCAATTTTTAATGCCTGCCCCTGTGAATTTTCATGTGAAAGGAGGCATTAGGGATTTTATATAGAACTTCATATTTCAAGTCTGAAATTAAACATTCAGTGTGAATATCCAGAGTTCATTTGAAAAGTAATCGTTAAAGCAACTGTGAATTGAGATAGCCTAGATGAACTCTTTCATCTAGTATTTATGAAAGATAGTTCAAAGCTTGCCTGGATACCAAATAGAGACTTCAAGGAGATAACACTAATGCAATTGTGATATTATCTTAAAACAGGAAAATTGATACAAAGATAAATCTTAATCTAGTGAAAATAAGTAAATTTTAATGTGCCTGTTTGTCTGTTGTGTTCTACTGAGAAACCAACCTATTTTTAAAACTAAGATACTTATTTTCTTATTGCTAATTCTCTCCAAATACTTATGTGACTGAGCAGATTGATTAAGAAAGTGCTAACAGGGAAAAATGACATACTCTACAGCCTCAGCAGCAGTATGAAACAGCACAGGAAGAGCTATAGTGTCAAGCAGGAAGCAACCAGAAGTGCTTTATGCAATGTTGCTGGATTTGCAATACTCCAAAGGCTGCGAACTTGTAATTTTGAGGCCATTCTCAACTGTCTATGCTTTGGACAGAAGGATGATGTGAAGCAGAAGGGCCCTTCTGGTAGTGGTTTGCTAGTGTACTGCTTCAAGCACTTGAATATGTATGTACCTTCATCTGTATTCTGTGAGGGACACGAGTGTGTGTTTTGGATGATTTGGTGCTGTGTGTACACTGATGCAAAATGCTGTGTTTACAGTTCAAAGAGCACAAGGAAACTAGATCTGTATGATCACGTAGACTCTCAAACAATGTAAAATACTGTTGTATGTACTGTTTACTGAGGGAACTATCAGGAAGTTTTTCTTAAAAATCTTCTCCCCCTGTCCTTTTTTTAGCTTTCTGAACTGCTGTATTGTATGGTTCATTCAGGCTGTACACTGGAATGACACAGGATGCATGAATTATGTCTATTACTCCCTAATTCCAAATAGTGCTTGGAATGCTCTAGCCTTTATTTGATGTAACATTTGCTCCTGAAAAAATGAGCAGTTGCAATAAAGTCATCTGGCATTGGAGCCTCCATGCTCAGAACATGACAAGAACCACGTCTTTAGGAAGCTTTGTTAGTATCTTAGAAGAACTGGAAAAGGTTTCTAACGTTGTGTGCTATACGTTTTTCTTTCACAAAAGTTGTAGAAATAACTCCTGCCTTTTGTGTGTCCTCTTACTGTATAGAGTCCGGTATGAAAGATCTTTTTTTGATTTTTTTTTTTTCCTTCCATGGCTGATGTACTCTGTCCAGTTGACTCATCATTGTGTATGTTTTCTTGATTTCTAATTAAAATCTGTTCTAGTCTAATATTAGACCATCAGTCCTTGTTATATCACCCTTCATTCTTAAGTAATTCATCCTGCAACCTCCTTACTCTGTATGACTAATGTCTTTTTCTTAAATATTCTTAGAACATTTTAAAATATCATCTATATTATAAGTAGCACAGTGGCAATACCTCTCATTACAATTGCTTAACACTTTCTGTCATAGCTCAGTGCTTTCTTTTGCTTAGGATTTTGACAAGACTTTAACCTTTGGCGGAATTTTCCATGTATTGGTGTTCGCCTCAGCCTGAAATTTCCACTTGAGACTGTTTTTTTTATTTTGTTTTGTTTGTTTGCTGAAAGTATAATCAGTATTTCATAGAGAAGGCACATCTAAATCGGCTTCTGTTACTGTCACAGAAAACACAGATTTATGTACTTCCATTTTTTTTGTAAAGGATCCCTAGGCAGATGTTTTTGGCTGAAAAATGGAAACAATTGTCTATTAGCAGGAGACTGTGCATGGGAGGGGGAATGCTCACCAAATAGGAATAAATCTGGGGAAGGAATATCTCTCAATAAGAAGTGAGAACTGAATTGATGAGCGCTGAGAAGGAACTGGTTGTTACCTAATCTTTAGGCATTCAAGAAATTCGTCCTAAAAGCAAAAATTAATTTATCTGGCTTTAATTTTTTTTTAATGGATGTTCTCCATTTTTTCCTTCTAACAACCACCTGAAACTTTTTTCCCTTATAGTGGCAAAAAGGAAAAAGATAATTGCAATGATTTCTGTTGGTAATCAGAAACCATTTACATTCTCCTAAAGGTTCTGTTTGATTTTGCATGTATAAGTAATTCTTTGCTTGCTTGTCCAGTGAAAGAAAATAAAATCTGTGGATGGAAGGTGTTTTATTATAGCTAAGCATTCTTTCTGTTTTAATCCTTCATTCATACTGCAGTCTTCAGTTCCACTGGAGCAGTACCCTGATGTGATGATGCAAAGGATGAATTTCCTTATATGAGTGGCTGGTGTTTCTTCTTGTTCTTCTTGGGTTCAGACAGAGAACCAGATTTGGTTGGGGAAAGAATTTTTTTTCCCCAAAAAGTAGAGTTGAGAGAAACTTTTACTGCCTCTGTGTACAGGATAGTGTTATGGACTGTCTGTGAGGATGTGGGTCTATATTATCAATACACTACTGGCCTTTTCAGAGGCCTTGCAGGTTGCTGATGTTTTTGCCTATGGCACTTGATACTTTTGGCTTCTGAGAGTTGAAATGCTTTAATTCAGCTGTGGTCCTAGGGGTCAGTACAGCAATGTCTGGGTAGGGCTTGAGAGCCTGTGTTATATTGGTCATCTAACTAGATGTTACAGAAATTCTTTCTGGCTTTAGATTTCATAAAACTCAGTTTCAGTTCCTGTAGTTGATGCAAAATAGAGCAGCCTGCCTATCATTTCCCAGTCCACTAAGAGGGTTCTAGATAGGTGCAGCAACCTGGTCTGATGTAAAAGCCTGAAGGTTAGTCTACATTTAAATTTACTATGTACATGCTGATGTAGGAGTTTTGCAATGTTTTTGCAACTGCAGATGTTTTTAGGAGAGATCTATATAAATTACAAAGTAAATATACTAACTTCAGAGCAAGCATGTTTTTTAAACCTCAAATTGTAGTCCTTATCTTTGTAAGGTATATTAGTAGTTCTCTTAATGAAACTTATTTTAATCCTTTAACCTAACAAAATGTAGCCACTGTGTTAAGAGACCTCACTTGTACTGAAAATAGTACGTGACTGGTTTCAGCTTTTCCCTGAACTGCTAGGAAGCTGTGAAGGAAGAAATTTCTTCTGCCCTTGAGAGAAAAGGACAACTAATTTTATCACTTAATTATTCCAGGAGAAACATTATCAGTGAACACAGAGAATGCATCTGAAAAACTTGTGATGATTGGCGAAGAAATACCACTGCTAGCAGATTTGTAAGGAAAATGCATATACTTGTTGTGTGTATAAACTGAGGTTTCCAGTTTATTTACAAAATACATTATCACCTTAAACTCCCCAAACCAGGAGTGCCAACCTATGTCCCTGTCAAGAGAGTTTAACAGCATCCAAAGGAAAGGGGAGTTGTTCAGATTTCTGAAGGTTTGTGTTCTGTCATCTGTTTAGAAACCCTTCAGTTGTCATCTTTGGTGACCAGTACCCCTTGTGCCCAGCCCCTCTGTGGGGAATGTATGTACTGACTGACAGGGAGAAGAGCCTGTGTTTAAGCAGACTTGCTTGACTGGATGGTATTTTCCCCAAATCCATGTAATTTGACTGATAAACTTGATGACTGGAGTTCAGCTCTGGAGAGCAGTTTGAGGCTTTGCTGAAGTGTGTACGTAACTCAAGGTCAGTGCAGATTTCTGTCTGGGCTGGAATGTGGGTTGCTGCTTCTGGTTAAAACCAGGTTGAGAACTTTAACTTATGCTGTGTGTATATAACTTTTTTAATTGGAAGCCCAGGAGGGACAGCTTTTTATGACTTACCTGTAGAGATCTAGTTACTTCACTGGGAAAATAAAACTGTCACTTAGTATGATTTTTTTTCTTAATTCTGGGAGCCAAAGCTAAAAGCATTGCTTTAAGGATGTTATCCATACTGGAGAATGGCATTTTGGTGTCAGTTCTGCAGCAGTGGTATAATATGTGGAGAGAAAGGTGAACCATATACTGCTGATTTCATTTGAAGTTATGTTTCCTTGGTCAGGATGTGATTCCTGTGAAAACAAACCAATGCTTTTCCAATGCTTAATGACAGTTGTGGTGATGTTCTAACTAACCAGCTGCTGTTCTGAGGGCTGTTACTCTGCTAACAGTAGTAGTGACAGAAGGTAACTTCTATCAGGAAGACCTCAACTGTGTTAAATAGAGGTCATGCAACGGATGTCCCTATGGCAAGGACTGGGAATAGAAAAGAAATGTCTTTTCTATAATCTTTTATGTATCAGAATAAACTGTTTTGTGTGTGCTTCTGTTAACCTAAAATATGTCCTCTGTATAACCAAAGTGTATATATTGTATTCAGAATATCCAGGTTATGCAGCTTTACTGACATGTTTTTATTTATAGCCCAGGCCACCATACAGATGTTATTCTGCTAGAAAACAAGTTAATGAAGTATGAGTAGCTACATAGAAGTATATCATAATATCTTGAGCTAGTAATTGTTTTTTTCTTCTGCTCCCAGAAATAAGTTTTCACTAGGCTTTTGAAGCTGTAGGTAAGATGCATTAAGAAGTTCTAGTTTTGAATTGGTATCCACATGTTCCAGAAACTTAGTGAATAAGTAATCTTGAAATGTGTTTTTTGTTTAGAAACTGGCAAGGTATTCACCTGGGGCAGAGCGGACTATGGGCAACTTGGAAGGCATTCAGTGGTTCCCGACGGGCAGGAGTTGTGCACAGCATCTGAACAATGCTTGGAGCTGTTGTGTAACATCCCTGTTTCAGTGCCTTGCCTAAATGGAGCATCTCAGGTAAAGAAGAAAATTATCATTCCCCCTACCTTTCTTTTTGGTGCATTAAAATAATCAGAACAATTTCCTAATAGAACCCTTTCAAATGCTGCAGCACAAGCCCTTGCTGCTCTTCCTGTAAGCTCAGAAGTTAATATGATTCAATTATTTCAAATATTTTAGAAGGATTTTGTGTTCAGAAACTGACTTTTTCCTTGATGGAACCAGAATTACCATTAGCAAAAGATGCCAAGTTCTCTAATATCAGTGTGTGCAGGAGACAGTTGCACCTGCAACACAGCCTAACAGATGAGGTGGGACTCTGTCCTGTTGCAGCCCTACTTTTGTCTGAAACTCCAAAAAGCAGCACCCTACAAATCACAAATGGTGGTCCCTCTGAGCCAGGGAAGAGGCTTGCACAGCCATATAAACAGTTCTGCTGGGTTTTACTGCAGCTTAAAAGAGTGGAAATTCCCAGTACTGTGTGGGTAGGAACAAAAAGTTGTGAAGTGGTTGAGACATGTGGTTAATGGCTGATCTAGGTCTTCTGCCCAATATGCTTACTCTTAATCTGTTATGATGCTTAATAAATCTACAGTTTGAGGTGTAGGGTAAGTGAAGAAGGGGAAACCATCAGGAAAGCAGAGATGGGAGAACAGGTGATAGAAGATAGACTTGGTTAAAAGTGCAGCTTTGTTGGCTTAATACTGCGTTACTGATCTGTCCAGGTGTCACTCTCAAAGAATATAGTTATCCAGGGCACTAAACTTTAGCAGTGGGTTAAAGAAAACCTGTAAAGCTTCAGAACAGCCTTGTTCTCAGAAAGGCTGAAGAATTAAAACCAACCAAAAAGTGCCCCAGCCACACAGTCCAAGTTGCCAAAGGTGAAGGCAGGGATAGGGAAAATGAAGCATTGCCTGCTATAGGAGAAGACCAGGTTCGAGACCATTTAAGGAACCTGACAGTGCACAAGTCTATGGGATCTGGTGTGATACATCTGTGGGTCCTGAGGGAACTGGCAGAGGAATTGGATAAGCTAGTATCCAGACATCATCTACCTGGACTTGTACAAAACATTTGGCACTGTCCCACTCAACATTCTGTATATAAACTGGAGAGACATGGATTTGATGGACCACAATAAGGAATTGGCTGGATCTTTAGAAAGAGTTGATGTCAATGGCTTGATGTCAGACTGGAGACCAGTGAGCAATGGTGTTCCCTAGAGGCTGGTATTGGGACCAGCACTGTTTGCCAGTGACAGGGACAGTATGATCAAGTGCCCTCTCAGCAAGCTTGCCAACAATACCATGTGTGGTGGTCAACATGCTGCAAGGAAGGGATACCATCAGAGAGACCTCGACAGCCTGGAGAAGTGGGCCCATGTGAACCTCATGAAGTTCAACAAGGCCAAGTGCAAGGTCCTGCACATGGTTTGGGGCAATCCAAGTGGAGAATGGATTGAGAACAGCCCTGAGGGAGATGGACTTGGGGATCTTGGTGGATGAGAGGCTTGGCAGTCACGGGCCATGTGCACTTTGAGCCCAGAAAGCCAACAGCATCTTGGGCTGCATCATAAGCAGTGTGGCCAGCAGGTCAAGGTCAAGGGAGGTGATTCTGCCCCTCTGCTCGGCTCTTGTGAGACCCCATACTGCATCCAGCTCTGGGAACCCCAGCATAAGAAAGAGGTGGACCTATTGAAATAAGTCCAGAGGAGGGCCACAGAGATGATCAAACAGCTGGAGCACCTCTCTTATGAAGACAGGCTGTGAGAGTTGGGGTGGTTCATCCTGGAGAAGAGAAGGCTCTGGGGTGACCTTATAGCACCTTCCATACCTAAAGGGGGCTTTAAAGAAAGATGGGGACAGACGTTTTAGTAGGACCTGTAACCACAGGACAAGGGGTAATAGTTTTAAACTAAAAGAGGGTAGATAAAAGGAAAAAAATTTTTATGTTGATGGTGGTGAAAGAGGTTGCTCCAGGGAGGTGGTGGATGCCCCATCCCTGGAAACATTCAAGGTCAGATTGGATAGGGCCCTGAGCAACCTGATCTAGTTGAAGATGTCCCTGCTTATTGTAGGAGGTTTGGACTGTATGACCTTTGAAGGTCACTTCCAACTCAAACCGTTCTGTGAAGCTCTTTGTAATGGTTTAACCAATGGCCTTTCTCCAACCTATAAATAATAATGCCACAGCTTTATCTCAGACTGTGTAAGCATATAATGAATATTTCTTTACCTTATAACATCCTTGAGTGTCTTTGGAGGTTTTCTTTTCATATGGCTAATTTGATTACAGAATAATTTATCCTCAAGCATAAAGATGATCAGAAAGAAAACCTGACTCAAGTTGTTTGCTGTAGTCTGACACCACATGCAACTTAGACTGCATGCAAACCATTTTCCTGTCCTTTTAGAGTCTGAGAGGCAATGTATGAGTTTCATTAGGAAGAGCATTGCCAGCGAATCAAGGGAGGTGATCCTACCCCTGTACTCAGGCCTAGTGAGGCTGCATCTGGAGTGCTTTGACCAGTTCTGGGCTCCTCAGGACAAGAGAGACATGGAGCTCCTGGAGTGGGTCCAGTGGAGGGCGACAAAGATGGTGAGGGGACTGGAGCATCTCTCTTACAAGGAGAGGGGGGGAACTGGGCCTGTTCTCAAGAAGAGACGTCTGAGAGGGGACCTTATCGATGTCTATAAGTATCTGAAGGGAGAATGTCAGGAGGATGGAGCCAAGCTCTGCTCAGTGGTGCCAAGCAATAGGACAAGAGGCAACAGGCAAAAACTGATGCACAGGAAGTTTCACCTGAATATGAGGAAGAACTTTTTTGCTGTGCAGATGACTGTGCACTGGAACAGATTGACCAGAGAGGTTGTGGGGTCTCCCTCACTGGAGATACTCTAGAAGCTGCTTGACACAATCCTGTGCATTGTGCTCAAGGATGACCCTGCTTGGGCAGGGAGGTTGGACTACATGACCTGCTGTGGTCCACTGATCTTACCCATTCTATGATTCTATGATATGGGAATTGACCTACTGCCAGGCAATGTACAGGTTCCATCTGGGCAGACAACCAGTCAAAAGGTGTGCATTTCCCTGTGGAGTAGCTGGCTGTCAAAATTCACAGGCTACAAAAATACAGGTTGACAGCTTCAGCTGCAGTGTCAGTACTGCATCTCTGCCTCCTGGTAGTCTCCCATGGTGAGACTTTGGTTAGAAGAGTTGGCCTCTTCTCTTTCCCATCATCAGTGTTCTGTGGATGTGTGCACTCTCACAGGTGAACTGGAGCTTCAGAGCCCATGATGCTGCACTAATGAATAATTTGTTTAGTCATTGTTGACTCCACTGGGTCTCAGACAGCTTTCTTAGTCATTTTGATATGGGTGTCCCTACTTTTTGTCATTAGTTATCTGTAGACAGCTGTTTCACACTGTTTTTCATCTGTGCATTGTGCAGTGTCTCAAGAACGTAGTTCTGTCATTTCTCGAACAATACAAAGCCAAGGTAGTTGTAGCTTTTGCACAGGGGAACTTAAGCTTGGCAGGACGAGTGATCCGTGAAAGTGAAGGGATGCGTTCAGGTACATTCCTTGAAAAGAAAGAGAAACAACAATCTCATCTTTATTCTGCTGCCCTCAGCGCTGTTCCTCCTTATAGACCTGTGAGAGACCTGATTTGAGTGATTAGCGATGGCAGTGTTCTGGAGCAGACATCATTCTTCGCAGAGATAACAGCATGAAGATGATTTAAGAGCGTCATTTGTACCCTAGGAGGAGCTGTGTTGATGAGAAAATTAAAAAAACAGATAGTAAGAGCCTAAATTGTTTCACTTCAAGATTACAAAATAGTGCCAAAGCAAGAATTTATACTTGAAAATGCATTAAATTGCAGTACGTAGGTTATGTAGAGTGAACTGTTTTTTGTTAACGCAAAAGTTACCCCTTTTTCCATTTCTTGTCATATGGAGACAGGGTTTGATTTGAGAGCTGAATTAAAAGACATATAGAGAAATTAGTTCTTTTTCATGCTTACCTTGAATCAGCAATTCCAATTTTTGTGTTTAATGCAGAGAGACAGTTTAACAGTTGAGGATTACAACTAAAGATTTTTATCCATGGTCTGTTTTTATAAATCACTTCTAATGATTCAACTGAATTTTTGGCAAAGCTCTGGTCTGCTGATTGCTTCTGCACTTCAGTTAATATTGTTAAAGCCAAAGTAGAGAAACTAATCTAAGGATTAGAGGACAGGATGAAAGACGCACTAGTTTACCTCAAGGACAGTGCAGGAAATTTAACCTCCTGCTCCTTGTCTCTGTGCCCATGGCTTACCTATTTTCTCCACCAAAGACCAGGGATTCTCCTTTCTTTGAACTGAAATTGTTATAGTGTCTGTGTCTGTCGCTTCAAAACCTGATTTTTGAAGTGTTGTGAGTGACCTATTCCGTTGTGACTTTGACTTCATCTGAGAAACTCATTTTAAAAAACTGACCTTGAAAAATATGAGTACTTTTTTCTTTATACTGAAACAAAAGAGGAACAAAAGCCTGAGTTTTAGCTAATTATCCACTAATCTGAGTATGGTTTTTTTTGAGCTTTAAGAGCATGTGGAGGTTCCTGGTGTTAAACGTGTTTAAAGTTTTTGCATGTTGTGACTGCAGGTCTATTTACTATTTTCTTCTCAGTGCTTTGGTACATATCCACCATGGAATAGGCCAAGGCACTGCGAAGAGGCTGTGTGAGACATTATGCATGCAGTGCTCTTGTGTTGCAGGGTGTCCTTGATTGGACCTCTTCAGAACATCTGACTCATCTGCCGCCTGATGCGCATTCACATCCACTGCTCTTCAGATGAAAGGACAATTAAATACAAACGACCCGAAATATGATGAATCTCTCTATTTAGCAGATGCTACAAAGACCTGGTTTAATGTTTCCTCCTTGTCAAAATGCTTTTCCAGTCTGTTTGATATTTTTGGCTGTAATAGCTATCGTTCTTCTGTTTGTGGTATGTTCAGCATGT